TATAGAGGATTCGGGAAATGTCATACGACTTGCTGAAACCTGCCCAGAACTGAGAGTGATGATGTCCCAAGACCCAAGTTCAGTTTTGTTTGCTGCCAGAAATTTTTGTGTGTAATAGCATGCTTCTGGATGTGTTTTCTATATAGAAAGGGGTGTTAACAAGGATTGACTGTGCCACAAGGATGCTGTTAAAGAGTAAACAAGTTGAAAGATTTAAAAACTCACAGAAATCAGAATAATGCAAACTTAATGCTTATAAAAGACAGACAGATACTGTCTGTACTTCACATAATTCTTCCTAATACGGGATCTCCATCGTCTTGCCGTGATCGGAAATGCCATCAGTTGTACTTTTTGGTGGAAAGCAGCAGAAGGATATTATTTCACAGGGAGATCTTGAATGTCTCTTCCAAATGAAACTGTTCTATGATTCTGTGATTCTATGACTTCAGGCAGTCCCAGGCTGTGGGCACAACTGTGCTTCCTGTATCTCTTCTGTGCACCCTGGCTGACGCTCCTCCTTCTTTATCTGTGTGGAATTGCACCTGAAATGAAAACTCTCTGTGGCAACTTTCACACAACCCCAGTGTTCACTGAAAGTGTGAAAAAATAGAAAAATAGTGGTTTCCCATTTTTTTCCCCTGAGTGAGTTAGCGAATGAGTAAGTGAATGAGAGTCAGGGGGGCTGTTGAAATGCAGCCTCTGCCAGCAGTGATGTGCGACTGCATGGAGGCAGTCAGGCAAGATCCTGTTGGAGAAGAAGGTTGAGCAGTTTGACTAAGTTGCAGTCAATCTGTAGTGAGTTTTCAAAGGGAGTTGGGGAAAAAAGGAGGCAAAACTGCGGCAGTGTGACTGGTGGTGAGCCAGTTCATGCATAGGAGGAAACGGATTGTGGCACTCTACATGCACAGGAGTTTCGAGAAACATGCCTAAGGAGGAAGATTTTGGCTACTGGAGGGGAGGTAAGTCAAAGCGTGGCAGGGGAGTGAAGCAGGGCTGCAGTCCTCAGCCTTGCTAGAATTTTGAATTGAGGTACAAGGCTAATGTCCTGCATGGAAGAAGCTAGTAAAAGCAACACAAGTCTTAAAGCTGGACCCATCCTTGGCTGCCAGCACTATCAATAATTACTTTTCTAAATGGAATATAACTCTTCAAGGCTGTCCCCCACTCTCACCCAACTGCACAGTTCCTGCAGGAGTGCTGGTCCAGGATGTCACCCTTCTGCAACCACCTCTTGGTTGTAACCCAGAGTCATTCCTGGGTAACTTATCTTAGTTTATCCTTATGGAAACAGCTCTTTTTGATGTTTATTCCAATCTATTTTTGGAATGCCATTGTGCAAAGAATCACTTGGCAAGGAGATTGTATGTTTAACAGAAAGTGTTTTAGGAAAAAAAAATTAAAAGAAAAGGTAAAGATTCCATGTCCCTTTAAAAGCAATAGTTACAATGTTTTGTTAATTGATAATTAAATTAACAGCCTGTTGGTAACTGGTACAGGAGTGCAGGGAGTATTGGGTGCTCATGTTGTGCTGAGAACTTGAAAGGGGAAGATCTGATATTTCACTGTCTGAAAATGTCAGTTCACAAGTCAAAGGACTATAATTTCCAAATCTATCATGGACAAAAGGCTGTTGAAGTGAAAAATGGGACAGATAATCTCTTTGCTCAGGAGGAGCCAGGAAATAAGTAAAGCATGTGCAGCAGAGGTGTTTGAGAGCTGAAGGTTGAGGAGCAAGTATTTGGTGACAGTAATGGGAAGGCAGGGCAAATTGAAGACGTTTTCTCAATGTACAGGTTGAAATCAGCAGAGGAAAAATGACTGCTGGGTAGGTATTTGTAATTCATACTGGGGCTTTGGGGCATCATCGTAGTATTTTTACCTAATAGTAATATGAAAAGAAATGTGAGCAAGAGTGTCCAAGCAACATAACCTCAGTCTAGTTGAGCTACTATTGCATTCAGGAAACCAAGAACAAAGTCACATCCAGTGGCACTACCTTTGCTTCTTCATTGCCTAGCAGCTTAGACTGCAGATCACCTGTGTTTTCAGTCCCCGACCTCCAGTGCAATTTTCTTGCCATTTCTACTACCTAATTAAGCCACTATGATACAGCAGTTCATTAACCTTGCGTTGTTTTCCCAAACGGTAATAAAATAAGTAGTTCAGAAGAACTTGCTGTTTTCTTTTGCCACCCGTATCTGCATATCTATATTTAGATTTCAGATTTAGAACTGAATTGTACCAATTCCTAGGGTGCTGATTCTGTTTTGGCAGAAGCTGAGGGACTTAATAGTGGTTGATTTTGGGAAGCCAGCTGGACAACTTATCTGGATGTGGACCCTGTTCATGCAGAATCATCAGGTTTTAAATCACGAGAATCAGCAGAGTTACTTAACCTCAGAAATGCCTGAAGAAAAAACAAAGCACTTCTCTGAAGAGCTATTCAGACCAGTCAATTTTGCACAGCTAGATTAGCTATCAGAACTAGGTGCCCAGGCCCCCATTGAAGTTTTAGAGAACAGCAAAGCTCACTTTCTAGAGCCCAGATTAAGCATATGAGGAAACAAAATCCTGAAATTCAGGCAACTAAATTGAGTGCCAGAGATGGCACCACATGAATAGTGCAGTTATGTTGAATTGTCTTGTATCACCTGACAAATACAGCATTATTGCTATACACATAAATTCTGTATTAAAACAAGGCACTGTTCACTTTTTTAAAAAAAAAAAATCACATTTTGATCTCTTATGCTATAGGAAATCTGGGATAACTCTGCTTAAATCAATGGAATGGAATTTAACAGATTTATAGGCTGGCAAAATTTACTCCTAAGTCTAAGTGGAGCTAATTTGTCCACATGGGAGTTCTAGGAGTATTCCAGACAGCTAAATTTATAGAAATAAAGATGGGAATTGAAGTGGGAGAATATTCAGTTAACTTCTGATGCAAAGGAACTTTCAGTATTTTATACCTAAGTCTCTCTTATTTGAAAAGTCCACTAACCCATGTTTTCACAGAGTAGAATTTCCTCAGGGTGTGAATAGTCTCTCAATGTGTACATATAGCCCCAGGCAGACAGAAAGCCAAAGCATTAATTCTTCTGAACATTATCATAATTCAAATAATAAACAGTTTGAAACAGAGTGTCACTTTTAAACTGCTTTAGTGCAGATGGTCTTTTTCTTAATTCCCAGCCCTATAGTTAGTGAGCTGAGAGTATTGAACTGCTTGCCAATTCTGTTAAGAGCAGATGGAGTGAAATGGGACAACAGCAATATTTCAGTGTGGCTCCCATGCATTGGCTCCCACCCCCAGATGCCGTTATTGACATACATTTTACAACTCCACATCTCTCACCATCAGCGGGTAGAATTATAAAGAGTTTCAGCATACTTGGCTTGAATGTCAATAATCAATGAGAATGCTCGTCTGGCTTAATAAGGATAAATTGTTGCCCTGGAAACAACATAACATTTCAGCAGTCGAAGTGAACTAAGACTAGTTCCTTGATATTTATACTAACTGTGGATGTCTGTGTGCATGTGTATGTGTGTAAACACTTTTGTTATGTGTTTCTCTGACTGTTCCCTGGCACTAAGGATTCCTCTTATGTGTTTTATAACAATATATTAAATTAACTCTTTTGAGTGCTCCCCTTTTAAAAGGTCATTTCTTTCACTTCAGACTGACTTTTTTTTTTCTAAAGACTCTCATTACAAACTTCGTCTTTCTAAAAAGATCACAGTTTCCCCTTCTAAGCTTGCTGACAAAACATGATAGGTGGGATTTTCAGAAGTGCCCACTGTGAGTGGACCATCGCTGCCTCTAAAGCCTGTGATCAGATTCTGTCCAGCTTTAGCTAAGGCAGATGTACCTCTGTGCAACAGATTTAAATTAATTCTCAGTGTTTAGGAAATACTGATCCTACTTATATGGGAAGTAGTTACCATTTTTATAGAAGGCATGAATGTTATGATCACAAAAAAATATGTAGTACGTAAGCACAGCTAACATCAAGATCGGTGAATCCCTGGAGACTTCATTTTTGATATTTTAATAAATAAAACAGAACATATAGTAAATAAAACAGGCCAGAAATCATCTTCTGGCCCTCAGACTAGCTGGCATGTACAATCTGTGGCCAAATGGCTAAATTCCTTCTGCGTAAATAGCAGTGGCTGCATGCAGCTTTCCTCAGGGGACTTGTTCCAGGCATTTTCTGAGAGACTGCTGTCACCAGGCCAGGCCATGGCAGGGACCATGCTAGCAATGTAGCAGTATGGGTGACTGGCTGTGCTGCGCCCATACCCTGTCACTTTTTATTTCATTAGTACAAATATGATGTATTTGTCCAGAATTTTCACTGATCTCCCCAAAAGTTTTGTGACTTCAGATCCATTTCCATTGCAGGGATGTCCTTCATCTAAATTTCTTTTCAAAGTTGGCAGGAGCTCTGTAACCTATCTGGCAGACCTAGGCGAATATAAATTCGAGAAGCTGTGGAGGCTGCAGGAAGCATCCAGTACTGCTGGGGCTGGCTGATGAAACATTGGGGTGGAAGTCTGCAGCATTACCTTCCACTTTCCTGGATGTCCAGAAGCCTTCCACCCATGAAGTCTATACTGTCAGTAAATTTTAAAACCTAATAGCATGACATGACAAATTCCATGCCAATTGCAGTAAAAATGGGAGCTTCTGTGATCCACGATATTCATTAAAGCTCTCTTTGCTCCCTGTATCCCAGGAGTTAGTATAAGAAGGCTTAATATTTGCCATATCTTGCCACTGAGTGCAAGAATGACAGATCCTTTTCTTGGCTGGGAGCTGACTCTGTGTCAGTTTATCTCAACCGAGTAAGCGTAACCTTACTGTGGAAGTGCAATGTCCCAAAGATACGCTGCTATGTAGTAGTTTCTGTGAGCTGGAACCAGTCACCCATGGTTTAGTGTTAACTCATGTAATTTTTAACCTTCTGTTTCTTTCCCTTTCCTGGCAGATTTTTATTGGTGAGATATCCATGTATTTCATAAGGTCAACCCGAGAAACCCTAATTATTCAAGAGAAAACTATATTGACTGGAGAGTGCTGTTACCTGAACCCACTGCTTCGAAGAATAATACGTTTTATAGGTAAGCATCCTGAGCACTGCTAGCTTTGTCCCTGTTTGCACCAAAACAGAACGAAACATCTTAATAATTTACACTACAAAATTAATTAAGCTGTGAAATCTTTGCAGGCATTTTCGACCTTAGAAGGATAGTCCCCCTCGGGATTTGCAAGGTAACATTCAAAATGTGCCATATCATGCCATCTGGAGCTGGTTTGTATCCTATTCTGCTGAGCTTAATGCTTCTTCTGGACTCTTGGAGAAAGGTTATGCCTATCAAATCCTTATATGAATATTTCCATCATTGCTAGTCTGTGTAAGCTATCCATTTTACTTACAAATTGGTCCTCATCAGCCCATCTCTTTGGCATTTTTCTTTTCAGCTCTAATTTTAGCATCCACAGCTCTGCCATATAATGTTCAGCTGAGCACATCCAGAGCCTACTTCAAGATAACATTCTTATGTTTATTGAATTTGGTTTTTGTTAATTGCTGAGGAATTAATGAAGTTCTGTCACTAAACCATTTGGAGGTTGATTTATATGGTGCTTGCAAACCACTGTGCCTTTTTCACATGGTTGATTAGTGGAAAAAATACTTATGAGACCTTACTGAGTGGACCATCTCATGGTTCTTTTTGAGCAGGAAGAGGAGCAGCATTGCAGCATGTATTACTGTTGTGGCACTGACACAGAATCTGGTTACCCTCTGAAGCCTTCCCAGTTCACAGCCATTTAAGGCTGCCAACCATACCCTTCAGTGTTTAGAGATAAGGAGGGCTGGTTGTTCACTTACTACTTCCTTGTAGCAGCAAAGTAAGAAGAGAGCAGCTCTGACTGCATGTGCAAAGGGCTCTACTTTCCCTCCTTCTTACTTGTTCATGAGAAGTCCCAAGTTCATGCATGGGATGGGATGGCCTGTCTCACTGCTGGCATAGGCTAGTGGTAAATATGGCTCCCTGGTGACCAAGAGGGGCTTTGCCCACAGAGCATCACAGCACCTCCATCCCTGTGTGCTCTTAGAGGTAAAGCGTCCTTACGCAATGCATCTTACTGAAAGCTGGGTCTGAATTCACAGTCTAAGTTAAAAGAAGCAATGGGAAAAAAAACCCTGAAAATACCTGGATTGCTTCCTCCATGTCACTGCTGAATTTTTGGGCTTTACCTGGAAGGAAAACGTCTGCTGTGACTGCAGCAAGGGTTGTATTGCTTCCATGGAGCACAGCCCTGGCTGCAGGTAGGGATATTGCTCAGAGAGTGGAGTTGAAAGTCTTATCCCATGTTAAGGTTTTTAGCAGCAGCAAGTATGTGCTGCAAAGGAGGAAGAACTATGGGTTTTTTTCCTGCTTTATGCATAGAAGTTAGGAAGTGAAATGGTTTTTTACCTTCTGCCACCAAGGGTGGAGACAAACCACCTGTGGTTCGTTACTCAGGCCTGGCCTGTGTGCTACTGCTGAAAACAAAAGACATGGGAATGCAGTTAAAAGTAAATTACCCTTGAACTTCACATAACCTCTAGGATATATTGATGGATAGCAAACTGCCATTAAGAGAGAAGTGGGATACCAGAGTCCACTGGGCCACTCGAGGCTGTTTGTTCCAGCACATTCGGCACATTGCAAAGTCCTAATCAAATACTCTTGCCTGCGGGGTCAGCACTAAAAGAGCTTAGACCATGGAGGCTAAGCACTTGCTCTATATGTTTTCTTATAGTTAGCTTTATTCTTAAACATTCATGCTATTGCTTCTCTTCTAGTGGAAGAGAAGGGGTAGCAATGATACGGTGCACTCTCAGAGAGTAGTAGGATATAAACCCTGATAGAGAAATCAATCTTGGCTCTGCAGCTATATTTGTTTTCCTGAGAAAAATGAAGTTAACGTAATTAGAAAGGGCTTAAAGTGTTCATCTCATCTTCAACTACTGTGATTGCTTGTTTTCTTCTGAAACCTTCTCCCTGTCTCTGCAGTAAAATGAGAGAAGTAGAGCTTGTTGGAAAGTTTCTGAAATAGTTTATGAAAGGAACTAAAAATAACCACGTTTTTCATTGAAATTTTCTGAATCTTGCGTTTTGAAAACATGACATGGACTAAGCAGCTGTAGCCTGTGGTGGAAGATCAGGGAAGTTAGCTTCATATAGCTGCTTACTCCAAAAACAGACTACCTGGATGCTTGGCTCTGGAGAGACTACCAGATTGCTCATGTGTGGATTTCCTTGCATATATCTTCTCCTGCTCAATGTGAGGGCCTGTCACGGTCCACTCGGTGGACTCATGATGGTTTGTTTGCTCTGATCTCAGAGTGCAAAATTAAGGCAACCATGCCAAAGGGGTTTGCTTCAATCAAACAGTGAAACTTTATTGTTTACCTTTACAGCGGCTTGCAATAGGTAAAGAGGGTGAAAGGAAAGTGAAAAGTAAAGTGAAAAGAGGAAAGAGATTGATAGTTACCACTGTGGGTCCAAGGCATCCCTATGGTCCCAGGTCCAGGCAGCGTCCCACTGGTCCTAACGATTGTCATGATCCTTCCTGGGAAAAGCTTCCAAAGTTCAGGTGCTGAGGAGCCATCTTTAATGCCAAGTAACACACCCTGCTCCTCCTCTGTATCTCTGCCTCTTCTTGGCTCCATCAACGCTGATCAGCCTTTCCTGACAGCAGTTATGCGGTCCACCTGGTCAGCTCAGGCTTGTCCCTGGTACTGGAGAACGGCATGGCACTCTTTGAACCATGCAGCTCTCCCTCCCAGGGTGTTCATACGTGGCACTCTTCGTGCCATGCAGCTCTCCTTCCCAGGGTGTTCGTACCCCATTCCAATCTCGGGATCAGCAACTGCATCTCAGGCAGGCCACTGCAGACTCATGTCAAGATGCTAGCCTAAATTTTGGGGTACCTTATTGTCCATATCCCTGGTGACAAGGTTGAGACAATGCTGTTTTCTGGACCAACTCTTACAGGGCCATAAGTTCTAGAGCTGACCTAAGTAGGTTATCTTCCAAGGTACCCTAGCCAGCAGTCTGGTTTGTGGCAAAGAAGTTTGCTGTCAATTTAATCTTGGCACAAATTCATTGGAATATCCACATATGATTTTTTTTTTAGCCCTGATGTGTGAGCAAAAGTCTTAACTGAGTACCCACAAACAGTAGTAATTGAACTCCTTGAAATATTGCTTCATAAGTCATTGCAGTTGGTGTTACTCAAAAGGACGAGAAAAATCCTTCAATGTGTCTTGGTGCTCCTGTGTCAGGAAAAATGAACACTAATTCCTGACCCTGCAAGGCACATCATGGAGAGCTTTTGAGAGTTGCTACTCCCAAATTTTAGAAAGGCAAAGAGAGCTTTTCTCCCTCCCTGATTCTGTAACTAGAGTTGCTGGGATTTTAAGAATAGGAGCCTGCTGTGGTTTGAGCCTACCCAGCTGGCAACAAAGTCCCACGCAGCCACTCGCTCACCCCTACCCTGTCCCCTGAGGGATGGGGAAGAGAAAATACAACCAAAAGGCTCAAGGGTCGAGTCAAAGGACAGGGAGGGCTCACTCACCAGTTATGGGCACGAGCAAAAGGCAGACTCAACTTTGGGATAACAACATCAGTTTAATACGACCAACCACCACCATCAAGGACAATGAGAGATA